AAATTAAAGAGATCGAAAAAAAAGTAAGGCCGGTTCTGATCATTTAGTTTTTGGGCTTAAAGATACCCTCTTTGTCTTTTAATCAAAGGATATAACACCCCTAACATAGAAAATATGAGCGATGATTCAATCTATTAACAAACCTAATAACCTCCACTATAGTGAAATCACCGTATATGCATTACCAGCCTATATCTTAATTTCTTCCATCATGTGGCACAATATCCTCTATGGAATAAATTTTTTTTCAAACATTTTACCTCTATGTTTCCCCACCTCATACAATTTATCTTATTTTTTTCTTTTTTTTTGAATGGTCATTGGGAATTTTCCTTAACATCATCACAAAGGTTACAAAAAAAAGGTCTGGTGTGACCAACAATGAGGGGAGTGAAACTCCCTGCTTGACCAAGCATCAACCAAGGAGTTACATTATCTATAACAATGGCAAAAGACTATATGATGGTTAGAAGCCTGGACTCTATCCCATAAAAAAACTGGTACCAATTTCTCAGGAATTTGTTGACCTCCTTTAACCCACTGGATAACATTTAAAGAGTCTCCTTCAACAATAATTTGTTGCTAAATACCTTTAAACAAGAGGAGACCTTGCAACAGTGCATGAGCTTTGACTGTGTTGGTTGAACAAGAATGTAAAGGGCAAGAGAAAACAATTGATCTCCCATAGAATTTCTTCACAGACCTCTTATCCCAGCTTGCTTTGGATTGCCCAAAGAACTACTTTCAAATTTTAGTTTAATTCTATCCACAGGCGAGGGACGCCAACTTGGGCTTCTGACAACTTGCATGCTCCTTGAGTTTAAAGGCCACTGTTAAGTTATAGATAAGATCATGCCTCCTGGAGATAGAGGAACAAATTTTGGATTCCGTAACCCATTCTGCCACTGTTGTGAGGATAAGGTTGAAGATCGCTTTAGTTGAAGATGAAGTGCCCTAAAAAATTCTATTCTTATGGTCGTTCCACAAAATCCGAAGGGTAGACGCCAGAAGAGACCTCCATATGACTTAACCGATTCAAGAAGTAGGGGATGGAAACATTGAAGAAGGAAAAGTCTCTAAGGCTAGGGGGATCAACCTAGTGGATGTTGGCCTAGCCAAAGGCTAAACAATTGTTGGGCATAAAAGAAATAAGTGATTAATAGTTTCCTTATCAGTTGTACACATCAAGCAGATGTTGGGAAGTATTTTCCCTCTTTTTCTTAGGTTATCCATGCTCGCAACCAAACAAAAGCCTAAACTTTGTGGGGGACCAAAAAATTCCTGCTAGAGACTGACCTTCAAGTGATGAACCCAAATAATCTGATCAGGCCTTGAAGGAGAGAAATGTAAAGAAGCAAGGAGGGAAATAAAGGAAATGAATTCCTATGATACTCTATCATCCACCTTATGATAACATCATAAAATATTCCAGTCAACTTGGTGCTTAAAAATTAGAGAATCCACAAGTGCTTCTGGCATTTTCACCTTCTGGAAGAGATGAGAGAATTGTGCTAAGAGGATTGAGGTGCCCAACCAATGATCGAACCACGACGAGTAGTAGTTCCATCCCCAACCAAGACCCTGTTATTTCTAAGAAAAAAAGATTTAAATTTATCAATATTCCTCCAAAGATAGGAGCACTATGCAACAACTTTTGGGCCTTTCGATGACATTTTGACGTAGTTATGAATCAGATTTGCTTTGAAGGACTTGCCTCCATAGTCCTTGTGTTTGAGTGGTCCATCTCCCCACCATTTGGTAAGGTGGGCCGCATTCATGGTATTAAGCCTTCTGATACCAAGACCTCCTTCTTTTTTAGGAGTGCAGACCTTATTCCAACGAACTAAATGAAAATTTTCCTTTTTTTCAGAATTCACCCAAAAAAAGTTCCACACGAGAGTTTTCCGACTTCTTTACAATATGAGAGGGTACAAAGAGAGCGACATAAAATATATAGGGAGATAACGTTGATTTAATTGGAGTAATTCTCCCACCTGGAGATAAGTATCATGATTTCCAGGTACTTGGTTCTTGTGGAACCGCTCTATCAAAGGATCCTAGATAGTTCTAGGAGACCAAATTTTTGCAAGGAAAAGAAGCTACACCACAGCCCATTAAGTCTGCCAACGGTTACATAGTAGTCTCATCACAATGAATTCCAGTAATGGTGGTTTTATACATATCGATCTTCGTTCCACTGAGGACCTCAAAGCACTTTAAAAACAACCAAAGATCAAGAATTTCTTGCTCTACCTCATGACCCCGGCGACTATTTACTAAAAACATAGGTCTCTGCAAATTTGCAAGACCATGTATGGGGCTGATGCCTGCCCAGTGCCAATAATATGTTAATATCATTTGAGTACTATAAATGCGCAGCCAGTGGTCCGTTGTGGGTAGTTTTAAATCCCTCAATAAAAAATTCTCCAACCAAGGTGTAAAGAAAAACCTTCCTCATTAACTGAACAAATCATTTGGCTAAAAAAATCTCCAACCAAGTTGTAAAGAAATAGCGATAAAGGGTCCCCTTTGTTGTGCTCGCGGAAGCTTTAAATCCGATGGGTTAATATTTGACAAATAAAGTATGATAAAAAAAAAAAAAACATACAATAAGAACACAGAGATTTACGTGGTTCACTTTAAAAGGGTTACATTCATGGGCACAACAAACAAAAATCCACTATACCAATGAAAGTTACAATAAGATTTTGGAACAAATCTCAACAAAAAAACTCAAGCCTTTCATTATCTTTATTCCTGATAATCATTACCGACAACACTAGATAGAAACGCGAGAGCAACGAGAAACTGACTTTTTCTCTAACTAAAAGCGAAACCATCCAAAATCTCAATGGGAACCGCTCCTCCACTTCTCTATAAGAAACAAACCTCTCAATCTTTGAAAGTCTAAAAGAGGCACCATTACAATGTTGCTGTCCAAAAGAAGCTCACTTCTCTCTAAGAGGGAAACTTTGCATATTATGCACAGAAGGATGTGCCTCTCTCTCTTTATAAAGGAACCACCATTCCCATATGGTCACTTAAACAGAGCACACAAATTCTCTGCACTTTTATCCCATATATATAAAATTAAGAATCCATATTAAATAGGAAACTTCTTATAAATTTTACATATATCTTAAAAACTAAAAACCATAGAGATATATCAAATAGTCCTAATCTTTTTGGATTTCGATTTCATTTAGGAAACTTATCGATATCAATCTCAATCCCACAAATATGGAATTTTCTAATGTGATTTTGGATAGCACCAAATCCAATAATTTCCACCTTGATATCAAAATCACCTGTTCACCATGCCAACATTTATTGAATAGCTTCATAAATTCTTTTTCTTTTGTCAAATAAATTTTTCATCATTCTTGCTAAAAATAGTGTTTGCCATTACATTTCTCCATCTCGAGCTTTGCATTCAAAACCTTTACTACCATACCGACGATCCCAAACCAAGCTGACACCACTTGTTGCACGCACGGAAGCTTTAAACCCGATGGATTAATATTTAGCAAATAAAGTATGAGAAATAAAACATGAAAAACATACAATAAGAACACAAATATTTATGTGGTTCATCCCAACAGGGCTATATCCATGGGCGCGACAAACAAAATTCCATTGTACCAATGAAAGTTACACAAAGATTTTGGAATAAATCTCAACAAAAAACCCAAGCCCTTCATTCTCTTTACTTCTGGCAATCATGATCGACAACACTAGATAGAAAGGCGAGAGCAACGAGAAAATGATTTTCTCTCTAACTAAAAGCAAAACCACTCAAAATCTCAATGAGAACCGTTTCTCTAAAAGAAACAAGAGTCTCAATCTTCGGGAATCTGAAAAAGAAACTATCACAATGTTCCTATTCAAAAGAAGCTCTCTAAGAGGCAACCTTGTATCTTATGCCCAGGAGGCCATGCCTCCTTTGGAACCACCATCATGGTGACCCAAATATGGCACACGAATGCTCTGCACTTTTATCCCATATATATAAAATTATGAATCTATATTAAATAGAAAACTTCCTATAGATTTTACATATATCTTAAAAACCCAAAACCATAGAGATATATCCAAGAGTCATAATCTTTTTGGTTTTCTATTTTCTTTAAAAAACTTATCAATATCAATATCAATCCCACAAAATATGAAAATTTCTAATGTGAGTAATTTTGGACAGCACCAAATCCAACACCCTACCCCCTGCTCGGTTCCTTTAATGGCTTTTACCATTAACCAAAATAGAATAGTGGGTGTAAAAAAAGCAACCATAAATCCACACTTTCCATCTTGGTCTAAAATCCATCAAACCCATCAAAGAAGATAAAAATTCCTAACTAACACAGTTATAAGCCTTTTCAAAGTCCAATTTTTATAAAACGTCTGTCATTCCCTCCTTTTATCCTAGAATTAACACATTCCTAGGTGACCAAAACACCATTTATAATTTGCATGCCTTGAATGAAGGCCGATTGAAGCTATGAGATTAGAGATTCCAAAATTGCTTTAAGCCTATTTGCAATCACTGTGGTTATAATTTTGTGTAAGCTACCTAGTAGACCTTTGGGTCTAAGATCATTCAAATGCTGAGTGGTATTTTTTTCAGGATGAAGGTTATGAAGATCGAGGTAAGAGAAAACCAAAAAAAAGTTGCTTGCCTTGAATGAAGGCCAACTGAGGCTGTTAGATTAGGGATTCCAAAACTGTTTAAAGCCTGTTGGCAAGTTATAATTTTGTGTAGGCTACCTAATAGACCTCTGGGCCTAAGTTCATTCAAATGCTTAGTGGTATTTTTTTTTCGGGATCAAGGCCATGAAAGTTGAGATCAAGGAAAGCCGATAAAAGTTCAGTCAAATCAAACTGATAGATACCAGAATTGATGAAAAAATCCATACAATAACCGTTAGGCCCTAGAGCCTCACTCCTTAGACTGTCAAAAACTGTTTCTTTTATCTCCTTTAGTTTGAAAGGCCGATCAAGCCGTAAGGCCTGCTTCTTTGATCTAGACCCGTAGCAATGGAAAAAATAAAGCATCTAGACCCGGATCAGATCTGTTGGGCCCAAAAATAATCACAATCGGGTCGACCCGCCTGGTTTAAAAGTTGGTCTCGTTCTTTTCCTCTTCCTAAGCCCTAAATTGAGTGTGTTCAACCCTCTCTCTCTAAAGTCCAGCGGCCCTCTCCGTCTTACTTGAACATCTCTCCTTCTCTCTCTAAACATTTAAAACCCTACACTACGCTTGTTTGCCGGGCTTGTTAAGGTTATAAAAGATCTCGCCCTCTTTAAACGACCAAAACCCTAACCTCTATTATGGTTTCTGCAACTTCTTTCCCCGTATGAGGAAACCAACTCTTGTTCTTTTTTCAAATAACCTTTGCTTTCTCCATTAAAGGGGTATATGTGCACAATACAATACTTTTTTTGTGTACTGGCCTAAGGCCTCTTATCCCTCTCTCTCCAAATTCTTGTTTTACATAGTCTTCATCATTCTCCATTAAAAAAGCGTGCTTTTTCTTTGAATCAGACTACAATGTCCTTTTCGTTGTTCTAGAGCCTCTAAGTTTCTCTTTGTTGGTGGTCTCTCTCTTGCTCTGTGTTTTTGTTGGTGATCTCTCTCTTGCTCTGTGTTTTTTGTGGTTAACTCTCTCTTTTTCGTCTCTCCCCTTTCAACCGTAGTTACGTGATAAGATAATTAGTAGTGAGAGTGTGTCTGCAATCTATAACTTGAGCTGTAACGTATGGGTCGCAAAAAAGCCAATAAAGGAAGCTCCTCTAGTGGTAACAGTAATTCCAATGACACTAACAATGGGATTCTCAATGAGCAAGTGACGAAAATGAGAGTGGATGAAAATGGTGTGGAGGAGATGGATGAGAATTCAGCCCTTGATTCCTGTGCTGAACCCCCTGAAACTATCATTGGAAACGATCACACCAGTGCAGATTATTACTTTGATTCGTACTCACATTTTGGTAGGCTCCCAAAAATCCAAGTTTTTTGCATGATGTACTACTCCCCTCTCCTCTCCTTGTTTGTTGACTCATTACTCTATTGAATGTTATTTTTGATGATGATGTTTTTTTTTCCCCTTCAATTTTATGTTATTTGTTTGGATTGTAATATTTTGTGCAAAGTGTGCTGCCCATGTGCTTTTCTTGGTGTGCTTTTCTCTTTCTTTTGAGTTTTTGTTTGTTTGTTTGTTAGTGGTTACTTGGTTTATGGTGTGAGGCCTAGGTTTTAGAGAATTTGGTTTCTTTATTAGATGCTAATCTTTTTTTTTCTCCTCACCTTGGCAATTATTCTAGCCAGTTAAGTCTTTGATTGATCATTTCATCAAGGATTTCTTTTTAATAAAACAATAAGAAAGTGTCTCTTCACTAAATAGTTGTCAAACTCCAGACATTCTTTTCTATCATGGAAGAGACATTATTTTCCTGGGAAAATTTGTCATGTAGAACAATGTTACAACCGTGCAACTCATCTAAATTTTTTTTTATGGATCTACAGACTTAAGATCCAATCCTCTCTTAGAATAGAATACAAGACATTGTTTTCCTAGGAAAATTCTATTCTATTGCCTTTATCCACGATTTTTTTCCTTATAGGAATTGGGCAAGCATATATTTGGGCCTAGGAACATGTAATATTGATGTGCATAACCAATTTATTCATATGAAATTACTCTATTTCGGGTACATGGTTAGGTTGCTGAAAGTGTAAGATTCTACCGCTATGAAATACAATATTGCTATTTTTTTGAATAAAAATACAATATTTCTGTTTAAGATGAGAAAATAAGAATGGAGATAAAAGAAAAACTACAGAACCTCAATAGTTTTGAGCGTCGTAGTAAGCATGAAGATTGGTGATAGGTGCTAAGAGATGATATCTCATACATTGTGGCATCGAAACTCTTGGAAGTTTGAATATTGGGGCATGGTTATCAATATTATTTTTGGAGTGATAATAGTCAAGTCTGAGTTTCAAAGAGCTGTATGCCTTCTGCTTAGGAGAGTTATATTAGTTATTAATCTTGACTAGATAGATACTCGGTTGCTGTTATTTATTTTATTAGAAGTTCAAGTGAGGATTTAGTTTGTCAGCTTTTTCCACATTGCATATGGCATCTTTACTGTTTGTAAAATGTCATTAGTGGATTTGAACTTTGTAGTTTCTAGATATTATATCATCATGATAAACAAATGGTGTTAAAGCTAGACCGGTGAGGTCACTGGTCCGGTCTGCCCAATGGAACTGGATTGGTTCACCTCTTAGACCGATCAAATAAAACAAATTAAAGAAAATAGGGAGAATACAGAAAATTGGAAAAACGGATAATTCAAAGTGATGTGAAGACTGAACTGAAATGCTCAGTTCTACTGCAAACCGGTGGCCTTTCCAGTCCGATCCACACCCTCGACCAAATGTTTCACCAAACTGGTGCTAGATCAGTGGACTAGCTGGTCCAGCGGTCAACCGGTGCAACACCAAACCAGCGGGTCCCTATGAGGTCTGAAAATTGACATAAATCCCGACGGGTTCTAAATTGAATTTATTAAGGGGCCGTTTGGGTATCTGGAAATCTATTATATGACAATAGATTACAAGGAAATATGTCATTTCCACTGTTTGGGGACACTTTAATAGTAAAGAAATGGTAATCTTATGGGAAATCTTTACCGCGCGTCTCTCTTAGACGGCTAATCTTTTGGGAATCTTTTGGTTTGCATAAGGTCCTCCCACATTTTGGTGTGGATAAGCCCTACCTCTTTAGTCTCCTCCAATGCTTCAAAATTTTATATTGCAATTTCCAAACCTTCTAGTTTACTAATCAAACTTCTTCCCATTTTTTAACTTGTACTATAAAGATTTTGAATTTGATATCATAAATTTATTGCTTATTTGAAATTATATAAAGACATTTGAAAGACTTCTATAAAAAATAAATAAAAATAAGGCTTATCAGAATAAAAATATGTTATTCCAATCATATTATTCCAATGACTTATCATGTTGAAACCAAAGTCTAATCATGTTAGAAGACATGTGATTCCATGTAAGTGCCAAAGGCATGCAAAATAAGTAGGAAATGGTGTGGTGATGATTTTAGAATGATACAAGTTATTAAAAATGTTTTTAGAATGGTGATGATGTTATTATTGGAAAATCTTTTTGGAATCGTGTGATGATGACTTTAATTCTGCATTTCAGTGGAATTTTGTGACAAAAAAGAAAGAAAGATAGTTTATAGGCAAGTGCTGGTAAAATGTTGGTAATGTATTTCCCATATTTCTTCCAGACATAGCTAAACAGTAGCAATGTATTTCCCAGGTTGCATCTAAATACTACCCAACAGTAGCAATCCATTTGTAGGTAATGTATTTCGCCAGTAATATCTTTCACAGACAATATATTTCCAGGTATCCAAACGGCCCCTAAGGGTATTTTTTTATTTTCAACATTTGGGTGGGTGTTTAGAATTAAAAACATCTATTTTAGATCTCTCTCTCTCTCTCTCTCTATATATATATATATATATATCTTATGTTGTATCATAAATTTATTGAATTTACTATGATAGAGTTCTTTTAGTCTTTCACTAAATTCTTTGAGGAACCATTCCCTTATTTGTTTATTTTCTTCAGACAAATTTTTTTTTAAGTGGCTTAGGTATATCCTTAAAAAGGAAGGAATAAAATACCTAGAATTTCAGGATAATACTATCCAGAATATTAATACTGTCCAAAACACCTTTCAAACCTTTCATACAGTTAAAGGAGAAAGCATTGAAGTTATCTATCCTCCTGAAACTAGCCTAAACCTAAAAGGAGAAAAACAAGACATAAAAGCTTCACCTTTCAAAGTTGGACCAAAAGATTCTGATAATCAGAGGGCTAAAATTGAAGCTATACCCCATATAATAGAACAAAATAATTATACAACTCTATTCCTACAGACTATAGGAAAACAGACCAATAGAATAGAAAACGTCTTAAATAAAATAAAACCTCAAGAGAAGAAAGAAGATAAAGAAAAGAGTGCAGTTTTATTCAAACCGCCTCCGAGTATTGCTGCAGGAAAATTTAACCTGCAAGGAGTTAAAAGGAAAGAAGATAATAAAGAATTGGTAGATGAGCTGATGAAAGATTTGAAAAATTAGACATTAAAGAAAAATCAGGTAATGTCCAAGTGCTTCAACAAGAAAAATTTTCTTTTGATATTGAAATATCTAAAATAGAAGAAGCTTTTAAACCAGAAAGCTTGGAGCTTAATAGGATTGACTATGGGAAAAAGACTAGGCCTGTAGCCCCAACAAGAATGTATTATCTTAGGCCCACTCCTGTAGATGTACAAATAGAAGATGACCTCATTGCTACCTCAGTCTTCTATTCAGGACGATCTATAGTAAATTGGAAAATTGATGGGATGTTTGAGAATCAAATTCTCGATCTCATGAAACATATGACTATGTATGCCACTGCATGTAAAGCAAGTAGAAATCAAGACCATAAAATTGCTAAAGCCATTATATGTGGGTTTACTGGATGGTGGGATTTTCATATGGACGAAGAAGCAAAAAATCAAATCCTAAATGCTACTAAGCAATGGGTTGTTAAAAGTGAGGTAGGACCAGGACAAGTTCTTGAGAACATAATTACTGATGAAGATGCAGTAAATACTCTAATATATACCATCATACTTCACTTTGTGGGGAGTATGACTCTATTATCAGCTAGATCTGAGGATC